TGCGTGAAGGGAGATAATTTATTGTTATCCTGATGTTTTATCTTGATGTAAATAATGTAAATGACAAATGTTTTTAAAACACCTTTTTAAAGCTTCCACCATCTGAATGAAAATGGCATTAATATGTTTTGATTGATTGATGCCCAAATGAATTCAAGTTTTTATTTTTATTTTATTTTTGAAGGTACAAATTTTGATCATGCGGTACATCTTATAGTAATGTTTTGGACATTATCATAATCCTTGCATATATTTTCTAAATACAACTCATTCCCCAGACATGAATTCTCTAGATTCTCATTAAGAGATATTTAGAGGGTACCTGACTGGGGAGGGGTTTTACACATTAGGTATTTGTGGTTATAGCATAATCTTTGTGCCATATAGGAGGTCTAGTGGGTTTAGCGGATTTTCTTGTTGGAAAAGGTTGCATAGATTGAGAAATAATATCAGTTGATGGAATAGAATTAGGAGAGGAAGAAGAAATATTACTTGAAGAGGAAGAAAAAGTTGGTGAACTATGTACTGGTTCAGATGAAGGATTATTGTGCGCAAAATTGGGCATGAATCCAATAGGATATGAATCAAATATAGTCTTTGCACTAGGAAATAAAGCTACATACTATGTATATAGTTTGGAATCAGAATATGGAAAAATGTGTTCAAAAAAATCAACATCTTTGCTGACAAAAATCTTATTGTTAGTAATATCAAACAATTTATATCCCTTTTGAAAAAGTAGGATACCCCAAAAAGATGCAAGGTAAAGCCCTTCGACTAAACTTATCTGATTTAGGCAAAATCATAGCATAACAAAGGCATCCGAACACTCATGTTTGTCAAATCTGGTGTTTTATGAAAAAGCATTTCATATGGAGATTTATTTTGAAGAAGAGGTGTTGGAACCTTATTAAGGATGCATGTGGCAGTTAAAATGCAGTCTCCCCAAAAATGAATAGGTACGTGAGATTGAAATTTAAGTGCTCTTGCAATATTTAATACATGTCTGTGTTTCCTTTCTACAACCCCATTTTGTTGGGGTGTATAAAGACATGAACTTTCATGAATAATGCCTAGAGAACTTAAGAAAATTTTAAAATCTTTGTTAAAGAATTCAATTCCATTATCTGTCCTAATTTTCTTAGGTGTAATGGAAAACTGATTTTGAACCATCACAATAAATTTTTTAAAAACATAAAAAGTATTAGATTTTGTAGCCATAAAAAAATGTCCAAGTTGCCCTTGAATGATTATCCACCAATGTAAGGAAAAACTTAAAACCATCATACATAGGTTCTTTATAAGGACCCCATATATCGATATGCAAAAGATCAAAGATTTTATCAGAATGAGAAATACTGTTTGAGAAAGACTTCCTGCATTGTTTAGCCATTGGAAAAATTTTACAATGATGAGTTGATTCCTTTACATAAATGTTCTTAAGAGATGAAATCAACTTTATTGTAGAAAAAGATGCATGTCCTAATCTATGATGCCAAACAGAATCAGTAACATAGTACAAGCATTCAGACTTGATGAACAATCTGATTTATTATCTACAACAGAGTAAGACAGATTATTATCCTGTGTTTTGACCAAATAGTATAGCCTATGATACTCTTTACCAATCGCTATCATCAATCCAGTCCATAGGTCCTGAACTAGGCAAAAATGAGAAAAAATAGGATAGTAACATTATTGTCCTTACAGAATTTAGATACAGACAAGAAGTTATAATGAAAATTGGGAACAAAAAGAACTTTTTTTAGTTTAACTCTAGATGAAAGGGATATGTCACCAGTATGAGTGTTTGGTGTTGTCATACAATTTGGAAGATTAACATTGGGTTTTTTGAGAGAGTTGTATGGAGAAACATTTTCCAAACTTTGGAATACAAAAGTCATATGGTCGTTGGCTCTTGTATCAAGCATCCATTCATCATTTAAAATTGTTCCAAGAAAAGAAATTATATTACTTGCTACATTTGGAGTAATCTCCTGATTCTCTTGAGTCAAATTGTTGGTGATGCTTGAACCTTCTTTCCGAAGAAGTTTGAGTATTTACTAGTACTGAGCTGGAGTAAAGATGTTCGAAGGCTTGCTTACAGAGGCAGAATTTTGTTGCTGATTATCATGCACATCAGATTCACTATGATTGGAAACGGAAGTCTTGTAATTAGATCCTTTCTTTGGCTTATTTCTCTGTTGGCCTTCAGGGTATCCATGTAGCTTCCAACAATAATTGACGATATGATTTGTCAAATGACAGTATTCACACTCCATAGATTTCTTTTGTTTGGTACTTTGAGCTTGGTTATTTGGAGCCTTATGAGTAAAAAAGGCTGAAACTTCATGTTGATTGTTGATAGTGTTTGTAATTTCTCGCTGTTTCTCTTCTTGATTGAGCATTGAATAAGCCATATTAATTGTCAGTAATGGATTTATCAACAAGATAGAACTTTGGACTGCCGAATAATTCTCATTCAAACCCATAAGAAATTGCATAACCTTTTGGGTTTGCTCATGCTCTTTGGTGACTTTAGAAACAAGACAAGTATAGCTAGCAGGAGGAAGCATTGAAGCATATTCATCCCAAAGAATCTTCAGTCTTGTATAGTAAGCAAGAATTGTGGCTGTACCTTGTTTGATTGTAGCAATCTCCTTCATGATTGAGTAGATTCGCTATCCATTTATCTTGTTATAGGTTTCTTGAAGATCTTGCCAAATTGTGGCTAGATTTTCTCCATAAATGACCCTGATGAGTAGTGAAATGATATATATATTCCATGATTTTAGGGGAAGATTGTAGGGAATTCGTGACTTTTATAGATTATTTTTATTTAAGTTCTTTACATGTTTTTATTTGCAAGAATCACGGGTATGTGTACGAGTTTCAAGTTTTTAGGCAAAAAAAGTGAGGAATTTATGCTCACTCGATGGTTGGAGGCTTTGTATGTGCTAACGAAAAAAAATGGATCGTCAAACAGAAGAAAGGAAGTGAATTTGCTGGATCGCGCCGCAACATGGACTTTTCGCTTCGCGGCAGGAGAGGCTGAAGTTGGGCAGAAAGTTCATGCCGCGGCGTGACAAGGCCGTATTTTTGTGGAAAAATTATGCGCCACGATGCCAGAAATTCATGTCGTGACATGGATCGCGAGAAAAATAAAATCCTTATTTTTTTTAACTCTGACTCAAACTTGGACTCTTCAAAAAACACCATTAGTAGAGGAAAAGTATAAATAGGACTTTGTAATTTAGTTTAGGGTTAGCTGAAGATTAAGAGGAGAGTTATTTTCTTAGTAAAAAGAGAGATTTTCCTAGGGTTTTGAAGATCATTCATGCTTTGGGGAATTTCAGGTTTGCTCTTTTCAATGTCAATGTGTAACTAAACTCTTCTCTAGAGATCCAGTGTAGCCTAATTTGATGGCTCTATGTGTAATCATATATTTATTGTTGTCAATTCAATGAAACTCTAGATTCATTCATGCATTTATTACTCCTTTAATTTCCATTATTGTGTGATGATATTAGTGCAAATTATTAGGTTGTATGTGTGACGATTATTGAATGAATGATTAATATTCTATGCATACACCCTGATAGAGTATTAGTAGGTTCATGATTTCTTGGGTAATTAGTGTTTGTGCACACGCCATGACAAATACGCCTTTGTTTAGGATTTCGAGTACTACTACGTTTAATGGGTTTTTAATTCACAGGCTATACTATATGCCCTAGCTAGTCTTGTATTAAAAATACTAGGTTAATCCCGAAAGCCTTACGATAATGCCTTGATTTTGTGAGTGCGAACCCTAGAAATTGGATTGTGATAACAATAGTTTGATAGTTGGCATAAAACTGGATTATTATGGTGAAATTGGATACCTAGGTTGTAGTTTATTGGTTCTTAAATTAGTTTTTATTGGTGTTAATTTTTATTTTCTTTTTACATTTAGTTTTAATCACTAGTTCTTTAATTTTCACTAGTTTTTTAATTTGCTTGAATTTATTTGTTTAATTAAGGCATAGTTATTAGCATTACTTGATAACTTACAAATCTCTGTGGGATTGACCCTTGCTTTTGCACACTATACTGAGATAGCGATTCGTGCACTTGCGAGGAAGTAAAATTATTCATCAGACCCAAACGACTAAATCTGTTGCAATGGTGTTCATAATCCAAGACCTAATTGTCGCATCACATCGGTCCCATTGCTAAGCTTGAATAGCTTCTGAATGACACATAAAGGACCCATCGATAAACCCTAGCTTATTTTTGGCCAAAAGAGCAATTTGCATTGTGCGACTCCAAAGCCTATAATTGTCTGTTCCAGTCAAAATTTGTCCAACAATTCAACTACCAGGAGTGTCGGAAGGATGCAAATAGAGTGAATTGTTATAGTTTGTCACCATTATCGCTCCTCGAACACTGTTACCCTTAGCTTAATTCATCTTCGATCAAGATTAGTTCAAAAAATCTTCTCAAAAGAAAGGAATGATTCAAGGAACGATCAATAAAGGATCACTTGGATCTGAATGTTGATTCTAAAGAGAAAAACAAAAATTGGGTCTGGATCGAAGCTCTGATACCATTTTACAAACAAGAACAAAGAAATAAATTCTACAGAGAAGACAGAGAAAAGAGAGAGAAAGTTTCGTATATATACAATAAGGTTGTAGAGTGCCTTTACACCTCAACTTTCTATTTATTAAAAATATTGCATATTGACTTTTTAAACTAATGATTTACTGTACACACTAATATAATGACAACAGAGTTCATTTACATAAACTCAATATACAGCTAACTAATTAAATATACAGCTAACTATAGAGGTTAATATTGATAACTATAGAGGTTAATTTCTATATAGTCAATATTAACCTCTATAGTTTCAAACCAAGATTCTGATATGATCGTGTACAGACAGGCCCGCAGCCCATAAACGCTAGTAAAGTCCTATATCATGCCGGCCTTAGTGAGATGAGATCCAAAAGCAACACCCCTTTCATTACTGCTCTCAACAGTCCTCACCATCTCTATTTAACTACTTCTTAATTACTCTTTTCTTCATTTTCCTCTTTTCGGAGACTACCAACATGTATAGTGCCAGGCGAAGAACTAAACTCTTGCTTACTTTCTTACCCTTTACCACCATTGTCTTACTCCTATTCTCTGCAATAACAACTCTCAAAAAGACCACCAAAACCACAGAAACTCCACGCTTGCACGTCCATAGACACCTCCAAATTGCTCACTCCACATGTGAAGGCACACTCTACCCAAAGCTCTGCGTCTCAACTCTCTCTTCGCTCCCGGATCTTGCCTCCAAATCTGTCCATCAACTCATCTCCGCCACCATATACCGCACATTGTACGAGATTAGAGCCTCCTCCTCAAACTGCACTGGCATTAGACAAAAGCACAAAAACCTTAACGCACTTGAAAATAGAGCTATTATTGATTGTCTTGAACTTTTTGATGACACCATTGCAGAGCTCACATCAGCTCTCCTTGATCTATCCCCTAAAAAAACGACCTCCAAACATTTCCACGATATGCAAACTTTGTTTAGCGGTGCAATGACAAACCAGTACACGTGTCTTGATGGGTTTGCTTACAGTATAGGAAACGTGAGAGACGCAATCAAGAACAACTTGTACAACATCTCCCGACATATAAGTAACTCTTTGGTCATGCTGAAGAAAGTCCCTGGTTTTAACATGTCCTTAAAGTCAGAGTCGGAGGTTTTCCAGGGTTATGGACGAATGAAGAGAGGGTTTCCAACTTGGTTGTCCTCAAAAGATCGAAAACTGTTACAGACAACAGTGAATGGCACCAAATATGATCTGATAGTGGCTAAAGATGGCACTGGAAATTATACAACCATTGGTGATGCAGTGGCTGCAGCTCCCAACTCAAGCACCACCAGGTACCTAGGTATTCATTAAGCGTATTAAATATTCACGAACATTGATATGATAAACATTATTTTATTTCTGGCAGGTTTGTGATCTATATAAAAGCTGGGGCCTACTTTGAGAACGTGGAAGTGGAGAGGAAGAAGACAATGTTGATGTTTATTGGAGATGGTATCGGCAAAACAGTAGTGAAAGCGAGTAGAAATGTTGTTGATGGATGGACTACTTTCCGGTCGGCCACAGTAGGTGAGTTCAAAATTTTCATTTTCATTTAGATATACAGTTTTTTAATTGATGTTGACTGCTTGAGGACTTTTGGACCACCGAAACTGTAGTTGAACTTGTATCTGTATAGTAATGCCACAATTGTGGGACCAGTGAATCACAGCATACGTATGTCGATTTTGTCGTTAAAAAAAAAAAGGACTAATAATTCGAATAGTTTAAACTCACGTGAGCATTTTGCATTGGCTCTCTCCACTCAGATCCTAAGATATAAATTATCATAAAGTGATTCCAATTAATGGTGGAATCCAGTAATATTAGGCAATTTAAATTAAAATAGTTGTATTAATTTTCTCCCCCAAGAGAAATCAAACAATCAAAAGATTCTCACAATGATAGTGGGTGGGCCGGAAATGGGCCTCCCTTGACCATGGTGGTTTCCGATGCTAGGTTTTTGGCGTGGAGTGGGAAGTTCTAAGAGACGATTTATGGAGACTCAGTTGGAAGTGTAGAAGCTCGATTTGATTTTTTCTCTTGTTTTTAGTTATAATTACCTCGATTAGAAACAATAATACAACAAGACAGAACCTGTCTTACTGTAAGATCTTACGTGACAAAAGTGCTAAAGAAGTTTAGGGTGTCTTAGGCTTTGTCCTCATCTAACTCCGCTCAATTAAGTGAAAGGTCCAGGCAGTTGCTTCCTCATGTGTTCTTGCCAGTTTTGGTTGTACAGGCATTCCACATGATACGAGATTGAAATAGAAGTGCAGTAATCAACTTATATAAATATAGTGAAACAACAGTCAAACTCACCTAGGCATGGTCTTGTCTCTTACATAAATGTAGATCTAAATATTAGATTAATTTATAGATACAAGATTCATTGCAGCATTTTTCACTATACACTTATCTCTTTAAGTTGGTGAAACAGTGATGGGGATGATTGCTTCTGGTCCCATTTTTAAGGGTAAGATAAGAGATTTGTTTATAAAGAAGAGTAGATAATTATTCTTTACACCTATCATAGGATATAGATAAGGCACCAACACGCTTTGAGATGTAGCTGTAACCGACATATTTGCTCATGTGTGTCGGTACTCGATCAGTACTCAGTAGCACCGAACCATAACTTTGTTAACCGTGTTTCTTAGGTCATTGAAGCGTCGTACTCAAGCTACAAGATTCTTTGTCTTCTTCTCCATTTTTTAAGTACTGTTCTTTTCGACTATTACTATTATTGTTTTTTTATCCACAAATATTATTTTTGGATAATATTATATTTACAATCCAATCTCATAAACTTTTTTCTCACAATCTTGATGTGATAGTTTATAATTAGTCAGCTTACAAATTGGTCCAGCCTATCCAATTGCGAGTTGATCAATTATAAGTTGTCATATCGGGATTGTGAGAGAAAGTTTATAAGATTGGGTTGTGAGCTAAACTTTATCCTCCATTCTTTGGCACTCTTGTTATAACCAAATTTTTAAAGCAATACTACACTTACAATCTTAGTTCATAAACTTTTTCTCATAACTCCATACTTATAACCCAATCTCACAAACTTTTTCTCATAACTCCGACGTGATAGCTCGCAATGAGTTCTGCCTGTCTAATTATAAGCTAACTAATTGTGAACTATCAAATTGAAATTGTGAGCAAAAGTTAATAAGATTGGGTTATGAGCCGATCTTTATTGAATTTTCTAAAAGGGGTCCTACATATAATTGAATGACTTGGGCCTAAACTGAAACAGATTTAGACAGATTCGTTCCGTATAGGAAATGGGCGATGATCAAAGGTTAAATGAAATTCAACTAGCTTCTATATGTATGCATAATTGCTTTATTTGATCATGGGGCTTTTACTCTAATGAATAATAATGCATGGAAGGAAAGATGCTAAACTTATTCAAGGGTAATGCTGGGACCATAATCTGGGGTGATGACAAAGGAGTGATCTGCCCTGCAGATTACGGCCCACATAGAATATATGAAATATCAATATTTTGCTTAGCTGGTTTGCATTTCATATAGCTTTAGCAGTTATACTTCATTATCATCCAACCCGATTCACATTCTTTATCTCTTTATATGTTTGATCGCTTTCAGCTGTGGTGGGGAACGGATTCATTGCAAAGGGTATAACCTTTGAAAACTCGGCAGGCCCTAGTAAGCACCAAGCAGTGGCCTTAAGGAGTGGCTCAGATCTCTCTGCATTTTATAAATGCAGCTTTATTGGTTACCAAGACACTTTATACGTTCATTCCCTTCGGCAATTCTATAGAGACTGTGACATTTATGGTACAATTGACTTCATATTTGGCAATGCAGCTGTGGTCTTTCAAAATTGCAACTTATATGCTCGTAAACCAAATGAAAACCAGAAAAACATATTTACAGCCCAAGGAAGAGAAGATCCCAACCAGAACACAGGAATATCCATCTTGAATTGCAAAGTCGCTGCAGCTGCAGATTTAATTCCAAATCAAACGAATTTTAAGACATATCTTGGTCGTCCTTGGAAAGAGTACTCTAGAACAGTTTATCTTCAATCTTACATTGGTGACTTGGTTGATCCGGCAGGATGGCTTGAATGGAATAGCACATTTGCATTGTCTACGCTTTACTATGGGGAGTACAAGAACAGAGGCCCTGGCTCTAATACAAGTGCTAGAGTGACGTGGCCTGGTTATCGAATCATTAATAGCTCCAATGTGGCAGGTCAGTTTACAGTTGAGGGATTCTTGCAGGGTAGTCAATGGCTTAATTCTACTCACATTCCTTTCTTTCCTAATCTGAGTTGAGCCCAATTTTTTTTATTTTTGCCCATGATGTCTCAACAGTCAACAACTGGCTTTCGTCTGGGAAAAAATTATATCCATCTACTGAGAAAAGTTCTAGTGTTATTGTCAACCACTATGTACTGGAATAAAAGTTGTTTAATAAAATCCTATTGTTTAATCCTATGATTGATCTTGTTAAAGGTATTTGTTACTCCAAGGTGTAAGTTCTGTAGAGTATAAAGGTTTCTGTCTGATTCATTCCATCACTATTTTGTTACGAGTTTTACTCTAAAGATGGCCCTTAATTTGTCTCCTAAAGACACAGCGTTTATATATATATATATAAAAAAATATAAAAAAATTCCAACGAGAAAAACGATGAAGGCAAGACATGGAGATAGGATTAACAAACGGATTTTGTTTTACTTGGGCTGGACCAAATAAGTGTTAAAAAAAGGGCCTAACCAGTCTCAACGAGGAGGAAATGGCCGTTACTAAAAATGCCAAGCCCAACTCCTCAGGGCATAGTACTGTGAAGTATAAAAACAACTAAAGCCTAGAATTTGTTTTTAAAACAGGTATTTAAAAAAAATACTTTCAAAAAATCAGAAAATTTTATTCTATGGCAAAACATCAACAGTTGATAAAGAGCATTCACCCAAGAAAGAATTAGATAATACCATTACAGCCTATATGATATGTTAAAATCAGATCATACGGAAAGATTCTGACCCACAAATTATTGTTGAAGATTACAATTGTAAAGAGTGGTTTATATTATATTTAATTTATGTATTTTTAATTTGCAGTGGTCAAGGGTATGGTCCCTGGAACGGCTACATATGATGGTCATAGGCTTTATAGTCTACGAAGACTAATAACAATTCCTGCAAAATCCGGAAATCACGGGATGTAAACGAGAAATGATGTTCAGATTTCCAAGTGGCGGTAATCATGAAACTCACCGCTCGGATCCCAGTTACTATTTTCACACTCTGGTTTATTCATGCTCACGGGTTCGTTTAATCAGCAGNTAAATAAATGTTTGAGGGACAATTAGATAAATATTTATCAACACATCACACTGTGAATTCAACCTGTACACCAACGGTTCACTAACGTTAGAGGAATTTTTTTTTTTAATTTATTAAATAGCAAAGGAACTTTTGTTATTTGATTAAACCTCAAGGGATGAAGAAAACCCCTAAATAAAATGATAAATATAAGATGTAGTATTTTACTGTTTGGGAATTGGGAGGGAAATTGAAAAAGGAAAATACAAAGAAAAAAGAATGGTAAAATGAAATATAAAATACATGTTGGGAGCCCCATATGATAAGGTCATTTGCATAACATTGGAATTTAAATTTAGGATCATGTTTATATTATTTGAATTGGGATGAGAAATATGATTTGACTTTGAATTAATTTTATAAGCTCAACTAAAACATTTTTATATTATTTAACTTATCTCTGACTTCTACTTTTCAACTAATAAAATGATTTAAATATAAACCATGTTTATGTTATTTAAATCAAAGATTAATTTATATTGTAGTTTTAAGCTTTAAATAACATAAACATAGCTTTAATTTAAAGCGTTTGTTAATAGTTGAGTTCAATTTAAAGCTTTAAATAACCTAAACCTGGCTTTTAATTTAAAGCGTTTGTTAGTAGTTGAGTTTAATTTAAAGCTTTAAATAACATAAACATGGCTTTTAAATACAAATGTTTGATGGGTGTTGTGTATTTTATCATATATTTATTTTAAGAGTAATGTAATTTGAACTCATAAGAATTCTTTTTAAATAAAATATATACTTATTTGTATTTCATCATCGATGCTTCAACATATAATTTTATTCATTGGATTTACTTACTTTTGTATTGGTTTTCATATTTTTTTATTAATTTTTTTGAGTTACTTTCATACTAACGTTTGTTGTTGCTTTATTATCAAGGTAGAAAAAGAAAATAAACAAAAAGAAAGAATCTTAATCTTTGATGGCTTTTTTATTTTGTTAAACTCTTAGGATCTGTTTTGTATGATTTCATTGAGTGGAGCTTATGAAAGAAGTGCTTATTAGAGTGGAGTTTATGAAAATAGAGTTTTTGTGAAAATTCTGTTAGTATTTGGTTAAGAAAAGATAAAGAGTTTTCAAGTATTAATTTACCAAAAAGAAATTAAATATATAAGAATAGATAAGTTGAATTTGTAAAATTGAATAGGAATAGTTTTGAAATTTTAATAGCTCAAATTGAGTTTCTTCCAGAAGTTGTAAAATAACTTATATAAAATTCTATAAACACTTTTAAAATGCAACCTGAGTTTGTTTGGTACGACTTCTTTGAGTACATCTTATAAAAGAAGAGAGTAGTGTTTATATGATTGCTTTTGTGAAATTTTTTATAGCTGTTTGGTTAGGAAAATGTAAAAATGTTTTCTAATATTAATTTACCAAAAACGATTTTAATATCCAAGAAATAGATCAAGTCAAATTTATAAAATTGAATGGGGATATTTTTTAAACTTTAGCACTCTAAATAAGCTCAAAATGAGCTTATGAGAAAACTCAAAATTTGAGCTTCTCCAATAAGCCGTAAAATAGCTTATTTAAAATCATATACTAAATACTTTTGAAATACAACTAAATAGCTTAACAAAATTTCAAAAATACTTATAACTTTAAATAATCTCTTTTTGGCCATAGATAAGCCCAACCAAACAGGCTAACAACTTAAAAGAATTTTAAATGTAACTTTAAATAAATTCTTTTGACCAATAGACATGCCCAAACATATTCTTATTATTCCAAAATTTTTAACTTATTCAATCACTTAATCTAGATTCATCGGTTCCATTTTTATCCCTCATTTCTAAATACATCTCTATTATAGTTTCAAAAATTCTTTTTAAACTTTATTTAATACCCAAAAATACCTTGTTTAATTAGCTTTAGCCAGTGTTTTTGTTTGCACCCTTTTCCCCCAATTCCAAACTTAACTAGGGTTTTTGTTTACACTACTTTTTCCTAATTTCTTAATTATGTTTTTTTATTTATACATTTTTTTCCAATTTTAAATTTAAAACTTATTTTTTTTCTTCAGATTCAAATTCATTTCGTTGTATGATTGCTTTCTCCATAACTTATAGTAAAATTAAAAAAAAAAAAAATGTTTCAATGATTTAGAAAATTTAGATTTAGGGTTTATGTAAGAATTTAAGCTAAAAAAAAAAAACAAAAATATAAAATACCGAATAAGTGTATTTATAAATTATTATGTTATTAAGGTTAATCTTGTCAAAACAAAAATACATTTAAAAGTGGGGATCTTGATCAATTTGATAGGGCTGAAAATTATTTCCCATATACTATTTTCCTTTCAATTAAAGATATTGGGCTGGGACAGAAGCAATGGAAGGCTGGGCCGGGCTGCACCTCAACTAAATCTTCATCCCACAAGTTGGGCTACTCAATTATCACTAAGGATAGAGATCTTTTAGCCCCACTTAATTGATCAGTAAACTTTGTAACAAAATGTAATAATAAACACTACTTAGTTAAAAGGTTGGTGTAATTAAAAAAAAAAAATTTTTTTTTTTCATATTTGTATAAAGGAATTTACTATTTTGGTCTTTCTTTTAATTTATTAAAGACTTCTCATATCCAACATTCTTCTTTCCTTTTAATGATTAGATCTATTGTTTTCATCAATCTTTTTCTAACGATCAGATTTATTATTTTATTAAATTTATTGAAATAGATTATCGACTTTTATTTAAGTATTTTCATAGATTGTGTTATTTTTTAAATTTTAATATGACTTTTAAAATCTTTGTTAAGAATAAACTTCTAAATTTACAATTTTATCATTGTTTTATAATTTTACCCTCATATAAATTAAAAGTTAGGGCTATAGATAAATTACATGGGGTTTAAAAATTATTTTCCTTTGTTTATATTTTCAAATCTCAACAATTCATCAATGAATAACAAAATATCTTCTGAAATTTAAAAAATAACATAAATTTGCTTATCATTTCTGCTATTAGTGTTCCCTTACCAAATTATCCTTATACTGTTTATTTTAACAGAAAAACTTAACAATAGAAGAATTTTAGTGATTAATTTAACTACAGTGGAATTTCTGTTATTTTATTGTAAGATTATTTTTATTAACCGAAATAAATGAAATTTGTGTGGGATAAAATTTGGTTATAAACCAGTTAACACCCCGAACGGGTTTTACCCGTTACTAAAATAAATGAAATTTGGTAAGACACAAATTAAACATCCAGGAAGTTTCACTTATATGTACTACTTCCTGGATGTTTCTGTCTTGTTTCGTGAGTTGTTCTAAGAAAATGCGCAGAATCTAAAGTCTCCTTCCTGCCAAGTTTCATAGCACTTTTAAACAATCTCCTACTGAAGTTTCTTAGAAAGCTTCTTCGAACTTCCTATATATCCCAATATTTACCCAACTCCCATCATCACAATTCGCAATTTGTTCCATTTGTTGTTACAAGGATGAAATTCAGATTACCATACACAACCGTGCTGCCCCTCAGTCACGCCGTCCCTGTCGCCTGCATACATAACCATCAGGAGTATCCACCGTGAGTGCTTTACTCCGATGAATTGATATTCACTGCCACCGTCATTACCCCAATGCTAATCCTGCAACTTCCGATGACATACATCGATGGAAGTCTGGTTCCTACTGTTATTTTTGACCATCAACAAGTTAAATTCCAGGCCTTCCTTTTATGCATTGTGGGCGCCTGTTATGGTTCCGGTTACTCCATGCTTTTCCGGGAATCAAAGCCGAAGATTGCAGGCGTTGGGCATACTTTTGCTGTGGCTTCCATCGCCACAGGTATTGCAATTTTCTTGTGGGCAGCTGCTTTCTCAGGATTCAGGTCCTGCCTTCCGTTATTCCTTAGTATTGTTGCATAAATTGTATTTTACAATAAGTTTTTCTGCACTGGTTGCAACTGAGTGCTGTCGTATGTACAAATTAATTACTCTAGTATTTATATTATATATCAAACAAAAAGAAGAAATTAAATCTATTGCACAATATTCTTAATTTTGGAAGCAATTAATCAATACAAAACTTTGTCCGTGGCTAAGAACTCAACTGCACTGTTCATAAGAGCCAGACCTAAAATTATGAAGAGC